CATATCGTTTATAGGAAACACTTTTTTGATAAACCAAATAGTTTTCAAGTTACAGCGAGGTAAACGATAACTTAAAAAAGAGATTTCAGAGCAAGCTTTTATTCATGATACTCCCAAATAAAAGCATTATGCGGTGTTTTTAAAATGAAAAAATAAAATATTTCTAATAAAAATATTGAAAAGCGGTTTTGTCAATTTAAGAGCAGTATGGTGTAGATAACAAAAAAATAATAATTTCTTGACAATTTTTAGAAAATTCACCCCCACCACCCCTGAACCGCACGATTTTTATACGACCAATTGATGATGCATTCTTAGTGTACAAGAAATGATAAAAAGTGATTATTACATTTTAACAAAAAAACTCAATGTCCGAGCTTATTTATTGTTTTACGTGATTCTGTCAAATAGCATGAAGCATTTAATTTCGTATTTCTTCGAGTTTTAATTTTGTTTTTCCATATTAGTCGTGACTTGTCAGAGCTTTTGATTTTTTCTGGTAAAATACGCAATTTAAAACTCGTATAGGTTTTGTAACAGTTTTTATGTCATTGTAAACTTGTTCCCTTATGTCATTAAAATTCAAAAAAATATGTAGAGCATCACGATCCTTGCCTTAACAGATGTTCATACTTATTCGCTTTTAAAGCGACACCAGCGTTGCCGCATTTGTTCTTGCAATAAGTGCCTAATTTTTTTAGATATTCTCGACGTTCAACTTGTAACGTATTTATATAAGCTCCAGTTAAAAAATCCCTCCGCATAACATTGTGGATCCGAGTTTTTCGAGTCCGTAGGGTATTTTCATTTTTTGTTTGGAAGCATTTCAATTGTTTCTTACGAATTTTTCTAATCTATCTGTCAAAAGGAAAGATTTGAATTTTAAGATGAAAAATGGTATATCATTTTTAGAATGTTTGAATGTTTTAGAACCACAGAGTGTTGAAAATGAAATTTAGCAAAACTAAATATGTTTTCTAAGAAAATTCCACAAACTACAACATCCTATTGGCTTCTTCCGAGTTTAACTGAAACTGGCTTGTATTTTATTTACTCTATACCTGCTCATATATTGTTTGAGGGGTGGAGGAATCGAAGGAAGGGTATGAACAAACGTAATTTGTTCTTTGACTGATAGAAGAGATTTTTGGACATGTGGTAAATCTAATTTTGACTTTATATTTCTTAAAAACTTTTGATATGTTATCAGTAATTTTTTGAATGTGAGAGTCCGAAAGCAATCCTACACTTGCCGTTGTTGTCGTTCCTTACAACCAAAACATTCCTGGCCACATATTAAAAGTTAAGATATATAACTTGAAATCCGGTAAATCGGGTTTAACATTTTTAAATTTTAATTAATATTTTCATTCTGGAATTCGGACATCCAATTTTTGGAGTCTATTTAGATTTTTTTATAGTTGAATAGCTCACTTCAAACAATACAACAATCGAAAAGCATAATTTTTAAGAAACACTAAAAACTGGTCAACGAAAAATGGAATGTTTTGTTGGTGCGAATAAGTATTTCGAGTAATTCGACACGTTTCAGTTATCTCAGGTGGCCCCTAATGAATGCAGCAATAGCCAATCCTAAATTAAATCCGCAAAAATAATGATTTTGAACCAAACGTGCTCTAGGAAAATGTCGCTCACTGAGTGTTAAGTTTAAAGTTTAGTTATCGACAGCAATTTTTAAAATATCGACAAGAAAACTTGGATTCGGAGGTTTTTCGAGAAGGTGAATAAGATCATATTCCAGTTTCTAAGATGATATGTAGAGAACTTTAGTTACAGTTAAGTGGTATAATGACGTTATTTTATCACTCATCTCCACAAAACATCGGCAACAATGCTGTGTCACTAACTTTTATTATTAATTTGATTTGGGTATATACCAGGTGATACAATTTACTAACAAATATTTTTATTATCCTTATGGCATATTAATCAGTTGAAGTAAGTTTTTATTCAGTTTTAAAAAATATCTTTTACTATGACTTATGCAAGTCAACGCTAATATCAATGTCAATGTGTTCATTTCTTCATTGACAATTGAAAAAGGGAGATAAAACTAATAGTGAATTGCGTTTCGGAACAGGTCCAGCGTAAAACGCGACAGGAACCGGATGGAAACAAAATTCCATATATATTTAAAACATCTGAATTTTAGGCAATCGTTTTGGGACAATATATTACAATAATTAATCCACATACACAAGTAAAATACCGCTTTCGATTGCTTTTTAGCGCATTAATTACGGACCACCCTAGATGACAAATTACACTAATTATAAACTATTTTGTAATTGTACTAATTGATTTTTTCAATTTATGTATTATTTTATGATAACTACCATATTTTTGTTCCTTATTAGTTTAATGTGAATGCTTATATAAAAAGAATTATAAAGGAATTATGTGGCATTCCATGGGAATCAAGTGGAATTCAGAGAATTTCCGAAAATTTATCACTCGAAGAAGAATTTTGGTGTACACAGGATTTTTAAATATATTTTTCAATATCTTGAAGTTATACGTATGTGTAGCAGAATAAAAAAAATTGTTCCATTTTTTCTGTCATTAGCGCTTGGTCTATTCTGGTTATTATATTTATTCTTGTGATAGCATTTCCAAAATGTACTAAAGTATGGTGGAGCTGATACATACACGACAATTAATCTTGGAGGGGCATCTTCCAACACCATGGGATCGCGCGAAGTAATTAAAGCACAAACGATGTTGCTTGATGATCACATGCTTTTGAGGGGGCTCAAGAGGTAGGAAGGAATCACACTTTGTCAGAGAATGGTACTCCGAAGGGCAGGATAAACACTTACTGGTGCAGTTCACATCAGCACTCGGAGGGGTAAACGTCGCTATCATAGATGTGGATCTACGTGTATCGGTTGAAACTCACTTCGAAACCTCAAGCCTCTTGGTAGGGGTAATACCTTTTGAGGTAACTAAAGAGTTTTCTAAAGCTTTACAATTCTGTTCCAAAAAATCACATAAATCTTGAAAAGTTGGGATGTCTTTATCACAAAATTTGAGTTCGAACCTCGTCTTAAGAGTCGAGTCGAGTTTCTCTAAAAGCAAATTGAATTTTGTAAAATCCCACAAGTCGATATCGAATTTATCGATAGCTGCAAGATTCTCTGAAAATGTTCAAAGCAATCTCCTCAGTTCAACAACCGAGTCACTCTTCATAGTCGGAGCCCGAAAGATCGACAGCCAATAATCAGTTAACAACAATCGATCGTTTTGATAACGTTTTGATATTGTAAGGTATACTGTAATTGGGATCATTAATTGGCAAATTCTTCACCACTGAGAGCATCCTTTTCAAAAGACACTAAAAATTGAAATTTTTCAATGTTTGAAAGGGAAGAATTATTATGGATTAACGTGTTAAACATATCAAAAAATGTAGTCCAATTTTTCAAATCGCCATCAAATTTCGGAATGATAATACGGGGGAGTCGGAGATTACTATTTCTTTGCAACTCTCGACCAACTACAGATGGTGCCGGAGAGCCTGCCTTAGGTTCCACTTTCTCAAATAATCGCTTGACAATAGATCGAATTGAATAATGCAACTGATCAAAGTGATCTTGAACCGCAAACTGTTGATCACTTTCCGAATCATTCGCTAAGGAGATTACTTCCAATTGAAAGGACTCAAAAGTGCTAATTAAACTCGGCAAATCCTCCACCATGCACTGGAATTTGCATAAAATTTCATCATCATCGGGTTCAACGCGAGATTTTTGACCCGCTAACAATATATCGTTAAAGCGTCTAAATGTTAAATCCCGCTTAGCAATAAATTTATCCATTTCCGACATTCTAAATCGTTTTGTAAACAAATGCACACCTAAGTCTCGAAATTGGTTTGAACAAAATTCTTCTTTTCAAAAGCTACTAAGTACCCACTGTAAATTAAAGGGAAGAAGAATTTGAGCACGCAGAAAATATACTTAGAATGAATCAAATAAAAAGACGGCCGCAATTCGAAACGACGGAAAACACTTTTTGTGAAACCGCTTTTTTGCGCTCCAAACTTTACACGTTTTTTGCTAACCCGTCCACGATAGCGAACATGTATTTAAAATTACTAAAGTTTGTAAATGACTATAAAAATCCAAAAGACTGATTCTGAGTTGGTGAGAAGGACCAATATTTAAAGGGTTGGGGGAAGCTGGTTGTAAATCACCCTCAAAACTTAAACGGGAAAGAGCGGTAAGAAAACAGTAGGACATACAACACCCGAAATGGTTAATCACCCACCTTGATGGTTTCCCGCGTCGTCGTCTGCCCGGCCGGGTCTTCTGGAGGGTTGGAGGTAGTAAGGTCCACAACACAGCGCGGGGTTCTCGCGAACCGGTCACAGAAGAGAGCTTGTTTTTTCGTGTATCACACTACGGCCGCTCACGTAAGTCTGTCTTTTCGCCTGGCTTAACCAAGGTTGGGTATGGTGGGTGTGTTGCATACACAGCGCCAAAATAAAAAGTCAACTCAAAGGAAAAAAATTATGAAGTTACCGAAAAGTGTTATATATATATATATATATATATATATATATATATATATATATATATATATATATATATATATATATATATATATATATATATATATATATAATCCTGAACCTCCCATTTCTAGAGTAGTTACAGTTGCCTATGGGAGGTTCAGGATTATACGATATGCCTAATGGTTCAGCTTTGTTAGAAGGATATATATATATATATATATATATATATATATATATATATATATATATATATATATATATATATATATATATATATATATATATATATATATATATATATATATATATATATATATATATATATATATTCCCAACAAGTTCAATGATCGAGTGAGTAAAGAAATTTATGGAACTTGTTACATTTACTTACTACTAACCAAGGCTATTATCTCGGAAATCATCTTATGATCAAACCCGGGACCAATATATATAAATTGTCGGAATTGGCTTGCAGCTGTAGATAGCAAAAGTGGCGTTTATAGCGGTGAATAAGTGAGTGTTTTAGAGAATTCTTTGCTTAAATCCTATAGAACCGGTCAAGTTCATGTTATTGTTCCGTGGTTAAATTTTCAAAAAATGCACTGCCAAGGTACCGTTATTACTTTATTGTTAAAAACAAAACTGACGTAAAGTTATTCATACAAATCAAGTAAGCGTAACTCTTGAGAAAGACAAAATAATAGCCTATTTGTGAAACATAATTTTGAAGTTACATGATACACTTTTATTGTGAAGTTAAAATAAAATATAAGCAAAAAATATGTATTTTAAAAACTAAGTTGGCTTAATAATAAACTAAAAACAAAATCAGCACAAGAATACAAAGTAATGAATCAAATATATAAAACATTCTAGAAATACAATACAAAATTTAACATCTCAGCGTCTTAATATTTAAGTTTTCCACTGTACATATTATAAACTACAGCTTTTATGTTTGTCCATTTTCTGTCTTTAAATAATTCAGGATATTGATTAGAGAATTCAGTAACTTCCTGCCTATTCGGAGATTTTCTTTTTTTAATATGATCAGAAAAATATTCTGAAATTTTTGTTTTTTGTAAGTTTGTCCATGATTGTCGTTCATTAATGGGGATTGGCTTTTTTGGTTTTATCGCTTTTGTTGGTATTTCAGAATTATTTGAAGTGGATGGCATCTCGCAGTCAATGTTCAGATTATTGTTACTTGCATAGATTGTTTCCATTTCTTCATTATCAAAAACAGGGGATAAATCAATATCAATTTCATCTAGTGTTTTAGATTTGTATTTGTCGGCTCCACCTTCCATCATTAAAAGTAAAAGTTTTGAAATTTTAGCTGTTTGATACACTTTATCGGACATACGGTAAAAGTTTGAATGAGTTTGTAATGTGTGGCCCATGAATTTGCTTAATTGCTCCATATCGTTATTTGAAAACTGAAGAAGTTGAGTGATGGTAGCTAAATGCTTTCGAAGTTTTGTTGCTGTTATATTGGCAGCTTTCTCCAGTTGGCATTTCTTGGCGTATTTGTGAATAATTTTAGTTCCATCAACAAACCCTCGACCAGTTCTGTGAAACACAAAATCACTTTGAATTGCAAAGTTATCTCTAGTTTGCAAAATACATTCGAAATGCGTTTTCATTATTGGTGATAATAATATGGGTACCCCTCTTCCACGCTTTCCTCTTATAATTAAACGACTGCAGGTTTTTAATAAAATCTTTTCGGATTCTGTTAAACATTTTTCAAATTCGTTATTGGAATCACTTTCTAAATTAATTGATTTAAAAGTTTGGACTTTTAGCTGAGCTACCTCAGCTGGTCGCCTTCTGTTAAGAAGAATAACTTGGGTATACAATATTTCTTTTAATGAATTATAGGCTTTGAAATCGTGTTCGTTTGATTTCAAACTGTTAAATGATTGCCCTGCAGCATTTTACAAAAAAATATTAAACCTCTTTAGGTCACTAGTAAGAGGCAATAATTCTTCTTTGTTCCATTTACTTTCATTTAAATTAGTACATGCTTGCACAGAAACTTCATTACACCATTGAGATTCTATTAGGTTCTTTAATATTTTAAGATCTTTTCGTTGATCGCTTGTGTTTTCCATTTGAACGAGATTAATATATGCGAGGTCACAACATTTTTTTATAATTGTTCCAAAATTAATAGCCAAAGTTGGAGATTCATAATTTTCTGTTTGGGTATTATATTTTGCAATTTTATTAACTCCAGATATTATTAGTTTAAAGTGCTTTGGTGGGAGAATATCTATAAGATTCTGAACGTCGGAATTCTCTTTTCTATCACACCGCAAAAGTTTTGCAAGTCTTCGCATATTTTGTCTTACCAAGTCAATATTATCTTTATATATTATCTTTATTTTATGTACCTTTATGTAGGAAAATGCATATTGACAAATTAAAGTATCTTTTTTAGCTATAAGGCTTATGTCGTCTGCGCGCATTCTACAGAAAATTTTAGTTTTCAATAAATCGTCTTGTTGAAAATCTTGTAAAAGTAAAGCAGTTTGTCCATCGTTTTGGGAAGTTTGTCTTCTTTTGTTTTCTTTATCATAATTATATGGACATATTTTGGTGTGCCTACATAAACTTTTTTTTTTATAGTAACCTAAACAATATTTGCAGGGTAGATACTCGTCTGAGGTCGAAAATTTTTCAGTAATTTTTAATCTCTTGACAGGACTTACTACAGTATCTGCCCTATTTTTGATAAAATTTCTTTTTTTTTTTAAGTTTGATAAAGCCAGTCGCCTCTCCTTTGAATTAACATGATGACAAAGTAGTCTGACTACATCAATCTCCTCGGAGTGCCATTTAGAAACATGTCTAGCAAAATGCGATACATCTTTTTTGCAATAGAGGCAAAAATCTCTCCGATCTTTGTAGTTCTTTCTTAATGCTTTTTCCACCATTGGCTGAAAGAAATGGTGAAAACTTAAAAATAGTCACAAATTTAACTAATAGATCGAAATATGTTTGTTTCAAATTTAAAATAAAATTTAAGTATAATCTTCATCTTAAATGCAGACAAAACATAGACAAAACATCGTCAACAAGATGATTTTCAATTAAACTGCAACCTTTCAATAGAACTATGACAATAACATAGTTAAACTATCTGCTTTCTTTAACTTATATTCCTAAATAAGGGATGAAGCAATATTTATTACTTTTTGTATTATAGGACAGTTGTAACTGAAATTTTTTATTTTAGTAGCGAAATTATTTTTCACCTACATTACGTACAAATAGTAGGTTACCTCATTTTTTAGAGCAAGATCTGAAATTTGTTGAGCTACATTATCACTTCTGCTTTCATCTTGCAATTCTCCAAGTATCCGTGGTTGACAATCAGTGGCTAAGAGGTTTTTTGGTAGCTTTTTTATATTGAAAAACTGCAATTTTAAAGCTTAATCACATTCAAAGAGAATTAAGCGAATAGCGTACCCTTTTTTTTTAGCTGGGTAGTCATCTGGAATATAATCAGGATCTTCTACAGAATCGTCATTTTCAATATCAGCACTATTCACACAGGACTCCCGTTCATCTGGTAATCCTTTAGTTTGATCATCTGTAGATGTGACATCACCATTATGTTTTCGGTTTCTTTTTTTTTTCGTTTTCGTGATCCTCTTCTATACTTGACTGATCATTTTGAGAAGAAAGTTTTGAAAATATACATTTAGGCTTTACACCCAAAAGCCAATCTTCAATGATCTGTATTTTCGCAGGTGATAAATTATTTTTGTGAGTATTACAGCATCCAGTATCAGAGCTTCTTATTTTCTGATCTAAAAATACATACAATAACAATATTTTATCGCGAATATATATTGTTTGCCATTTAGAAGTCTTTGGATTATTGCACCACTCGTACCAAAAAAGTTGTACCTAACACGTGTAGAAAGTTCCCCTTTTCCGCACACGATTGCACATGGCCGTACTACGCGAAGCGCAGTTCAGACAGCAATTAAGTGCGAATATGCACTTTACACACGTGTTAGATGCAACTTTTTTTCTAGTAGGATGGGAAAAATAAACAAACTTATTCCATGAATAAATCGATAATATGAAAGATTTGAATAAGTACTTACTATTCCTATTCATTAAATACACATCAGCCACAACTTGATCAATTACAGACCTTCCATCCTCGTCTTTTGCATTTTCATCATTTTGAAAACAAATATTTGAATTTGAAGAATGAGATTTTACATTTAAAGGCGAATCTTTATTTAATTTATTTATTCCTGATGGAGGTGGTGACAAATAATTTTCGGAAATATTCGAGCAATTATCACTAACTTCTGTCGTTTTCTTTTCTAAAAATTTTATTGTTTTAACGTGGATCCTCGAAAAAATACTTTTTGTGTAGAAAGAGAAAAATGAGAAAGAGACAATAACCTACCTTTCGCTAACCACAAATCAACCACTAATTTGCAACGGCCTCTATTATTCATTGTCAAACCGACGACCGACGCGAGGCCGACGCAAGAACGATGACAAACCTGAACCACGGTATACACAATTCCAATTCTATAAAACTTAGTTTTTCATCTCACTGCCCCAAAAAAATAACTAACAGTGTTACCATGTAGTGTGGATCAGGATTGGACTAATGGTGAGATATACACAGAGAAACGTGTATAATTTTAAAATTGTCTGCAGCGCCAAAAACGGCCAAATAATTGAACTAAGATACTAGATATACCATACGATCCTGAACCACCATAAAAATAGATTTCTATAAGGTTCCAATTGAGCCATTGAAACAAAAGTTAGCCACTTTTGCCACCCGATGGCGCCTCTAATTCTAGTTTGTATTATATCTAAAAATATCAAAGTTTACGTGAAATATGACAAGAAAACAATCCTGATCCAATATACAGGTTCAGGATTGTCAACGTGGTTCAGGTTTGTTAATAAGTTTTACTATCGAAGGTTCAGGAATGTATGATTTCCGGAAAATATATATATATATATATATATATATATATATATATATATATATATATATATATATATATATATATATATATATATATATATATATGCGCAAAAATTTTGATTTTCAATAAATAAAAAATGCCTAGTAGCAGTAGGTGTTAAATTAAGTAGTATATTTTATAAGAATGATTTACGCCATTCACACAAGCGCTTAGTAAACGAGTAATCGGAGAAATTCAGCATGTTGAATACTATACTTTTTCTACTAACATTAGGCTTTGGGTATATTTTTGCAAAACAGCACGAATGCACTCACTAAGCAACGTGATCGTTAGAACTGACAAACGTCAAAACACCAGTCGCGGTTAAATGTTACCGAAAACATCCGATTGCTCCCAAACCTGTGAGTAAAGAACCTGAAAAATCGAAATCACTCGAGACCGTGGGCAACGAACCTGACATCTGAAAGTGACACTCTCTACAAGCCAGGAATAGTAAATTATGCATTAAGTGCGGTAAACGGCATTTGACTCACGAGTTTATTAAACGAGTGAGTTAAAAGTTTACCGAACTGTTGCATACTATACTTGCATACATACTATGCGTACACGAAAAAATAACAATTTAACAAGTTAAAAATAATAACAGATTATCGGATTACTAAATTTCGTACGCCTCTCTTCCGGTGACGTTTGCGTCACTTGCGTCTTTCTCGGCCGTATACAATTCTAACAAAACTATATACTAAGTGTGTGCTCTACCATAGGAACTAAAGGAACCACAGTACGGCACACACACCTTACCTAGTGTCAATAAAACACACAATGTTCCATTACAGCTTTATTATCTACTTTTAACACTTCTATTTACTTTATATTTATAATCTTCTTTTCATCTTTTACATCTAATTTACGCTTACGTTTATTAGGTCCCAACAACTTTACATCCCTAATATTACCTCCGGCAATACCTTCATCCCCTTCTCGGGGTAAAATCAAATGCGTCAAATATCCCTTCTCTAAACATGTCACCTTCGTTTTCCACTCACATAAAGCAATTAAATATACCCTTATATTAGATACACCAACAGGCAAATTCTTTGCCCTTATTTCATACCAATACGGCGGAAAATCCGCCCATATTGACGCCTCACAAAATTCCCATGCGGATCCAACAAATGGGCCACTTCATAATAACAAACATAATTCTTCATATCATCACCCTTAATAGAATATATTAATTCTCCATGAAAAATCCAACCCTTCTGCGTCACCGGCAACACAATCTTCACATCCGAATTCAAATCGGACAACCTCACCATCAAAGGTTCTTTAATGTCACATGAATGATCTCCATATCCCACATTTTGATACATCCTTATAATTTGAAACACTATATCATCCAACATCTGCACCCCTCCAGAAGTATCTCTTTCCACCGCTACCGCAAAATTTCTCCAAGTAAATTCAAAAGAATTAAAACGGAAAAAATTATAATCCCGCACTTCATCTCCAGTCATTGTCCCAACATAACTATGTTTAGCATTTACCATATCCTGAGAAGGTATACCCATCAAATATCCCAAATTTATAGTTCCAATACAATCTGCTTCATATTCCGACATACCACCTTGATTCCTTCCAATATAAGTACCAAAATATAACTTATGCCATTGTCTATCCGTAATATCTACTTGCGGCATCTGCATTGTAACAATAGAAGTCTTCTCAACACCATCCGTTTGTCCAAACAGTTTAACCGTAATCGGCTTAGAATGCGTCTCTACATTTTGCGAAGCCATTTTCTCACTAAACGTACAATCCGCAGTAGATGTATAGTGCCGATATAAGCAACAGAAACCGTACATAACCTCAATTTCCTAACCCCCCCGCAGCGGGGGCCCCCCGCGCGTGGCGTCCTAGTGTCCCCCCTGTCTACCAGAGTGCGCTCCGCCCCCCACCCAGCTTGTGTAGCGTCCTGTTTTGCCCCGGTTCCGCCCGTCGCTGCTAGATGTCGCGCGCTTGTGTAGCGTCCTGTTTTGCCCCGGTTCCGCCCGTCGCTGCTAGATGTCGCGCGCTCCGACCGTCGTAGGCCCCCCCGGTAGAGGGCGGTGACGGTGCGGCGCGGAGACGGTGTGGCGCGGTGACGCGGGTGATCGGGTCGTCGGTAAACAAGTCGAGTGACTTATACAGAGTGTCTCAATAATCACGGTTTAATAAAAGAAAAACTATAGATACAATAGTAAATATTTATTAGCTCATATGTAGACAACGTAATGCTTCGTACAAGCGGTGTTTCTGGTCCATGAGATTTTCTACTTCATCGCGGTCGAGGATAATTTCGTCGCCATGATCCTGTTTCAGTATCAACTCACAGCTCTCTTCTTCGTTCGAATAGGTCACCTCGATACTGCTCCCGATGTAGACTGTTATGTCGTTCCAGAACATGATTTCTCCCACCTCGTCCTCCAGAAAGAACAAAAAATCCCAAAAATCCTGGACTTGAAAATCTATGTGCTTGTTCTTGAAGATGAAACGGACACCTGAATTCTTTATTTCGAAAATCGTGTTTTCATCGATAGTGACCACTTTGTTACACATTGCGACAAACAGACTGACTTCGGTATCAAATTCAAATGTACTTATATATCAACAACCCCCCACTATCGGTGTAATTAAGAGAGATATTTACATTTAGTCAATTTGAATAAGCATTTTGCCAAAAGAAGCAAACAAGCGCACGTAGTTACATATAGCGGGATTAAAATAGTTTTTCGATCTGCCGAGATGTTGTATTCGTTACCGCAATTGTCGTTAACGCCGCCGCTGGTGTTATTGGAATTCTTGATAGCGATCGTTTGCCATTCGCCGTGGTCTTCGTAGCTCCGGTTCGCGAAAACGAAACGTACCTTGTAATTTAAATACGGCTTATCTGCGGTAGTGTTATTCGACAATGACACGCTAAAAGTTTGTAGCTTGTCGATTCCGTTGACCTGAGCGAGTTGCATACGCGTCCACGTATCGGGCCAAATGCACCGATTTTTGAAACAAACGAACGCTTCAATCACATCCTTAGGTTTATGTATATAGAAAACGTTTTGTACCACAGCCGACAACAAAACAAAGTGAGCACTTAACAAAACCATGTTTCTAGCCCGAATGAATCTATGCTATATCTCGGTAACTGCTTTTATAACACTCAAACAATAATGACATTTATTCTGGGGAGGTGCCGGGCCGTCGATATGCATTTTGCTGTCCGGTCTGTTATAGTGAACAAAGCAGGGCAAATGAGTTTGCAATTCAAAATTGTTGCGATGTCGTACTGGTAACTTATGCCACATATTTAACAAATCGTGCGGTCTCACATGCTCCAAAAAATGTTGCACAGGAATCAATTCAAGTTGATCGGTATCCAAGCTTCTAAAATCGTCGAAGAAAACTAACTTCTTATTCATTGTTGTGAAAGATCGATAACTTTCTTAACAAATCTCTAATTTGTTTAAAGACACTCTCTGTGGGACAATTAATTGCGACAAGACTCAAGTCTATTTCACCGACTCTCGTTAATTTATTCAAAAATTCGTTGTATTCGTAATACGTTTTCTCTTTGAAAAAATACAAATGTCCGTTGGTGTATCGAAACGCGCCCGACAAATCGTCGGGCAGACCCGGAAACAGTTCCGTAGTAAAACCGTGTTCACTCGCACTCAAAGAACACTCGTCTATTTCTGCATAGTAGCGTTTACCGTAAAATATATACGTTCGACCGCCATACGTATTAAAAATAGCGTTCACTGTTTTACCCGCAGGCACACCCAGTCGCTGGATGCTTTGTCGGTCGCCCACTACCGTGAAACTCGGGAAGTGAAGTAAATAAAACGAATCACCGGTGACTACCAAAAGTTGTCCGTTGGGTCTCTGGTAGATATGCGAAATAGGAGCGTAAATAGGGACATAATCTGATATCATTTTAGGTTCCATGTAGACTTTATCACCTAATCTTATTATCCAAACCCATTTGTCGTAAAATAGATACATATGATGGTTAGACGTAACCAAAAATATGGATGGATTTACGTGACACAAATCTGGTACTTTTGTTTCGTTTTTCCCTATCGGAGGTTTCGTAGTTGTGGTAGTAGTGGTAGTTGTTGTTGTTGTAGTCGGAGTTGTTACGCGGGCGGTGGTTGTGGTTTTTTTACCATATAAACGTTGAAGACCTGCAACATCGTCGTATGACAATGTCTTAGAATTTAAGCTATACCAAGGGTACATAATGGCATTGCGATCGTTACTGTGCGCCAAACCCAACGTATGTCCAATTTCGTGGAACAACACAGTAAACAAGCTCGTCTTTCCTCCGGGCGCAGGCACTTCTAAACCGTAGTACCAATCTTCGGATTTATCCAAATGAACTTCCACGCACTCTTGTTGTTGATTTGGAAAAAATGCATGTCCTAATATGTTACCCCTTCCGTCGAAAGCAAAAGGGCAGGATTCGTTCCCTTTACATCTTATGCTTTGTCTGTGGGTAGTATATTTGTCAGACATCAAAATCATTATATCCGGCTCTGAGTAATTTAAGAAAAAATTTAAATTTGATTCATCACTCCATATTTTAAAAACCTCGGTTGCCAGCACTTTTAACTCTTGATAGTGACTGGGCGGTACTTGAATATACCAATTTAAATCCGTTTTCTGCCATCGCGAAACAGTCGTGAAGGCATTTTCTATTACACCACATCGGGGTTTATTTATTAGTTCGACGGTTTCGTTATTAAGAGTACCATCCACCGGTAAATTATAGAAATCCTGAAAATCCATTAGGGCACGTTGCAAACTC